AAAAACTAAAAAAAAAATGGAAAATGAAAATGTCCCTAAACAGTTCAAAATAAATCAAAATATTTTGAAAATGTTATCGTGTATAGAAAATGCAAATATAAACAACCAGTGAAAATTTCATGTATATACGTTCATTTGTTTCAGAGTTACACCAAAAACCAAAATCGATTTTTTGGAAAACCAATTTTGCGTAAAAATTCCCGTTTTTTCCTTAATTTTTATGTTGTTTTTCCCGGCGCTTGTGAAAACTACTGGGAAATTTATACTTTTGACCCCCCAAAGTACCAACTAGATTCACTTTCCTATCAGAAAAGCTACTGATGAAGAAAATCCAAGCACTTTTACTGTCCTAAAACGTGATGACAGACACAAAAATAAAAAAATAAAAAAAAAAAAATAAAAAAATAAAAAAAAAATAAAAAAAAAAATAAAAAAAAAAATAAAAAAACACACATCATTGTAAAATCAATACATTCATCGTTTCACTCAGAATCTAAAAATAATAATAAAATAAATAAAATAATTAATGACAATATAAAATATACAGACTGACAAACCGTCTCCGTTCAGAATCGTTTTTCTTATACAATGATATTCTATCATTGAATTCAAGTTTAATACAATCCATTAAACAATGACCAACTTGTAACCTACTGTACAGCTGAGCGACATCCACTTACCTGCCTTTTTTTTTTTTGATAGAGGTAGACTAACTTATGAATAATATTGTATTGCGTTTAAAATCTTGGATTTAGAAAAAAATATTTTTATGAATTCTCAACTCAAAATAATTTGGTAATTTTCGTGATTTTTCAGTATTTTGTCAAGATTTGAACTTTAAATGCTTATAAAAAAAAACTGTGACTAAGAATTTTTAAAATGTTTTAAATGCTATTGTTACAATATAGTAGGAGCCTTATATTTAATTGTCAAGCTTTTTTACCTACCAAATAAAGTTTTATTGACATTTATTGAAAAAAAGCCTAATACAATTGAAAACTGAAAATGTTCCTAAACAGTTCAAAACAAATCAAAATATTTTTAAAATTGTATCATATATAGAAAATTCCAATTTAAACAACCAGTGAAAATTTCATGAATGTACGTTCATTTGTTTTAGAGTTACACCAAAAACCAAAATTGATATTTCGGAAAACTGATTTTGAGTAAAAATTCCCGTTTTTCCTTAATTGTTATGTCGTTTTTCCCTTCTCTTTTGAAAACTATTGAGAATTTTAAAATTTGACCTCCCGAATGCACCAACTAGTTACTAGATTCACTTTCCCATCGAACAAGATACTGTTGAAGAAAATCAAAGCAGTTTTACTGCCCCAAACCGTGATGAAAGACAAAAAAAAAGACAAACATAATTGTAAAATCAATACATATTCATCGTAACACTCAGAATCTAAAATTACAAAGTTGATGCCTTTTAAAAGTATTTTTAATTATATGCATAAATGAACAATTTTTTATTTTAAATTAACCTATTGAGTCTGAATGATGCTATTTAGAATCACGACCCGATAAATAAGGAAAATATTAAGTAAACAAAGAAGTCTGTACCTATATTTTATCGAACACCTCTAGACATGAAAGTGAAATTGATGATTGCTCCGTTGCAGCACTCACAAAAGTGGCCCATTTTCTTAAATTTTACTCCAAATATTTTTTTCAGTCACTAATCACTATGGTGAATGTTTGCTTTGAGCAACTTATGGATATTTAATTTTTTTACTTTTTTTCTTTTTATTTTACTTATGTATGATAAAGTTTTATTTGTGAATATAAAAAGCTTGATAATTTAAAACAAAGTTTCTAGAAAGATTTTCTTGCAGCAATTAAAAATATCAAAAATACTTCATAGTCACAATTTATTTTAATTATTAACGTTTCAACTTAAAATTTTAACAAAATTCATAAGAATTGTAATAATTCACAAACTTTTTTGTAATTAAAAATTTTAAAATGCATCAAGTATTTAATGTTGACACTGAAAGTTTTAAAAATCAATATAAGAAACCAATTGTAAGTTTTTAATTGGAAATTAAAATAAAATTTTAGTAAAGCGGCAAACATTTTGTATAAGGGATAGTTTAAATGTCGATGACATCGGATATAAAAACGTAGTTGCAATTTATCGGTACCAACTAAAAAAAACGATTTTAATAATAATGAAATGATTCTAATGTATTCATTAATTTCTATATTTTAATAAAATAATAAGATAGTAAGATACCAGTTTGTGAAAACCTTAGTAATAAAATACTTTATTATAATAATATTTTTTTAATTATTAGTAAAAAAAAAATGCTAATCGATGGTAAATACAATTAATTTATTAATACTATTGATATAATAATAATATTCTATTGTTCACGGTGTACGCAGTGTAGTTGCTAAGCCTAAGGCTGGTTGTGATTATAGTCTTTATATTATGATAAATCCCAATTTATCAATAATATTTCTTCATTTCCTATAAAACTACAAAAAGGGATGATAATATGTTTTGTACACAGTTATACGTCGTGTCCTGGCGATGAGGGTTGCACGGCGATAACTAATAAGCATACTAGTCACTAGACATAAGTTAATAGTATATTATAATAACCTTCTATTTTTAAATAATGAATAAATGTTTTAAAAGAAAAAGTTTCAAATAATTCGGCCACGGGCCCCGGGGGCTTTTTGCACCCCTAGCACCCCTGGTTGTTGCAGCACTGAGTGAGTCCCTGGATGGTTTGGATCAGTCTTGTAAAGTATTTGATTAAATTATATATTTAAATATTTTTTGAATTTACTCATTTAGGTATTTATTATTAAGATACGGAGCAAGACTCTATTTACAATACCTATGTGTATAGAAATATGTAAGTCATATAAAGCATTTTGATAAGTTTCAATCAGATTATAAAAGTATGTGAAATATGATTATTAATTATGCATAAGGTATGTGTTCTGTAGTATAAATAAAGTGTTTCAAAATGAATAAGTGAATTATATAATAAGTGTATGTAACGAGAAAAAAACACATAGGTAGGTACGTTTATAAAATAAAACAAGATACAAAAATTACAACAAATAACAATACCAATTTACAATACTCGAAAATCGGTATATAGGTATAATACGATTAAGCTAATCATTTATTCATGTTTTTAATATCAATTAAGTATTTGGAAAGTATTTTAAATACTGCTTTGGACGATTTGTATTTTAAATTAATAACATTTATTTATTTATAATATTTGTTCACTCATAAATGTTGAGATCCCCTATTGGTGATGTCTCATTTATGACTATTATAAATAATAATTTAAAGACTGTTGAGACTGCTACAGGAAGTAGGAACCCAGTAGCCAGTACACTTGTTAATCAATAAAAATCAGTTTTGAAAATTGAACATTTGTTTGATTTTATTAACAATTGTTTAATTACTTTCTGAATGGATGTATTTGTATCTGTATTTAAATACAATTTTACAAGAGTGGTTTGGATTCACAATTTTATTCAAGCCAGTAGCTACAATCCGGAAAGGTGCTCACTTGAAGCTCACTCAAGGATTTTGAGTTTTACATTGGAAATCAAAAAATGTTTTTGCTTATAAATCTTTTGGTTTATCGTGTGGTAAAAGCATGAATCAAATCGTCGTCATTATGGTTTCGAATAAAGATATTTTATATCTTAAAACAAATAATATGAGAGTTTAATGTACATTTGTAGCTTACAAGGTACCTACTCAAAAACTACATAGATATGGATTTTGAGAAAATTTCAAATTTTTCTTTGAGGTATCAGGAAAGTTTAGAGGATAGTCTGAACAACGTTCAATTTATACCAACTGCTATATCCAATACGCCACAGTCAAATTGTTTATCTCGGTAGAATTAGTTCACACCGACGCAAATTGGCCAGTGAACTGAGACAGGTAGACGATTAACCAAGATACACCTATTATAAATTATAATACAGAGCTATATTTCATTTTTTTCATTTTTTCACGGATGAAGTCTGGTTATATAGCTATTGTTAGTTGTTGGTTTATCCGAAGTAGACTCAAAACCTACTAGGCCGTTTAAAATAAATATTATATATCAACAGATTCCTTCAACGTTGAGACTTGGAGGGTCTTCATATAGCTTATTTTTTCAGCTCGTATAGGTAATATATTTATCAAAGATACAAATCTTTAGCAATGGCAACGTCGGCCGGGTCAGCTAGTATTTACATAATATTATAATATTATCAATTGGTTCTTAAAATGTATTTAAAACATTAAATAGCAGCGAGTATAATATTACTAATTTTACTATAAAAATAAAAAACTAACTTATATTAAGTATGTAATTAATTAACCATTAAATACTATCAAAGTAATAAAATTTCGTTGGAGTAACTTGTAACTTAATAGTTAAGTTATTCCCCAAAAATATCTATTACAAGACTGTTTTTAATTTTGTTGGCTCTGTGTCAACCCGGTTTAACACATTGAGTATGGCTTTAGGCTTAACATTATAATGTTGTTTTAATTTATGAATAAAAAAAATTATAATTATTAACTATGATTGTAACAGACAGAAACTGTCATATTATCACCCCTTGATGTGCAATCAAATGCAATATAACACACATATAGATATAATAAACTGTTATCGTCTATTTAACACGGATTAAGATAATAATATCATAGTCCGTGATTTCAAATAAATTATCATTGCTGTTATCTACTAAGCGAATTTATCGTTTTCGGCACGGGTGACGGAATTCTATACAATTTAATAATATTATGTTATGTTATTGTACATTACTATTATATAACATTACCTAAATAAAATATTTTTAAAACCCGGCATCAGTATTTTATGACTACGGCACCAGGTCGCTGATAGCATTATTTATTACTGTCTTTATTACAATTTTTGTTTTTTCCACTATAAAATATACAAGAATTACTAAAAAGTACTCGTTTAATGTAGAGCATTGACAAACACTACGACTAAATGATGAACAACGATCAAGATGAAGAGCTCAAGCTTAGCAAAACGCATTTTGATGCGATCAAACTGTTGGAGGGAGCTCTACAAAAAATGGATGGAATTATATCGACGGGTATGTTGGATCTGAAAGTCTGTGAACTTTTTGTTTCATTTCAGAAATTATGTTAAACATCGAGATAATCTATTTCACTGACCTAGGTCCAGAAGTTTTTAAAATTCTGTAAATTATTACACTGTTTTCCCAAGTTAGGTTTCTACTATCCTCGTAGCCACGGACATGTGTAATGTTGAAGGAGATTTCCCGCTATCTTATCATACTTAATTATAATTCGTTAATTTTTTTTCTATAAAATGTAAGTCTTGTTTGCAGTTTTAAATATCCACTGAAAACTACCTAATCGAATTTAAAACTTAATGAATTAATTTAATTTATTAATAAAACAGTATAATATAATCTAACTTAATACTAAGTAGTAAGTACCTTTGTTTACAATAGGTACTTAAAATTAAGTAAACATTTAAAAACTTATTAAGTACTTAGTTATTGTATGATTATTTATTAATAAGTTTATAGGGAATGTCACATATATCATAAGTACCTAATTACAATTCCTAATGAAAAAGAAAATTAAATGTTTACTGATGTTTTATTGTAGCACAATACATTATTTGAATAAACATTATTAAATATTTTGTAAAACCAAATTTTAGTACCTTTATTTGTTTACATTTATTAGATATTGGGTAGCATTCTTTTGGAAGGTTGACACAATACCGGTAAGATTAATCTTACTGACTACCAGTTAATTAAAAATATAAACAAATTATGAGCTAAATGTTCGTTTAATATGATTGATAGGCAAATTCAGTCTACTGAAGCCATACTGTTGGTGAGATTTAATTAAAATATTTGATTATACTACATTTGTTGCATATTGTTTTAGATTTATAGATTTATAATTTTTATCTCAATATATTGTTTTCAAATATTTATTATTTTTATCTTGTTTTACTTAACTATGCAATGTGTGATTAGTAGGGCTCGGATTTAAATGCCCTAAAAATATCAAAAAATGCATTATTTATTAAATAAATTAAAATTTAATTATTATTAAAAAATGAGGAACAAATAAAATTATAACAAAAATTATAAATTATAAATTAATAAATTATATTACAATGTACAAAAAAAAATTAAAATTAAAAATTAAATTATATTTGCATTGCATTGTACAATAAGAATTTTTTTAATGTTTTGGAATTTAAATGATCGACGGTTGTCTGCCAATAAGTCATAATACGACAAATAGGTCAAAAATGTCCTAAAAAATTAAAAAGATGCATTAAAACCTTCAAAAAATGCCCTAAAAATGATGAAATCCGCTAAAAATGCAAAAAAAACAAAAAAATGCCCCAAAAAATTATTATGGTTAGATTGCGAATTACTTGAAACATATTTGTAGCTTGGAAAGCATCGTGTAAGATATCCCAAAAAAAAGATGCAAATGCATTGAAATCCGAGCCCTAGTGATTAGATAGTTGTTTCATTAAATTCAATGTCTAAAGCAAATATATTTGTGAGAGGCACATCAGTGAATTAATTTATTAACTAGTTATAAAATTAAGTATACTTGTAATTTTGGCATAGTAGATGCTGTTATTTCATTTATAAGTATACATATTTTGTATTATGTTAATTGTCTATAGGTACATTTATGTTTGAAATAATATTTTATTCTTATATTCATTGTATTTTGGATTATTATATTACCTATAGTTAATTACACATTTACACTTACGTAGTTTCACATTTACATGAATGTTTTTTTTTGGCATATTCTTTTCTTTTGGTAGCTTAGTACTTTATACAATTTGTAATTTAAAAGTTTTGCATGGATAATTTTAAAACAGTAACATATCCAAATAAATATTCACTCGTTATTGAATTCAAATCAGTGTAAGTAAGCAGATTGGTTTCTACAAAGTATATTATAAATATAACTTAATTTTTGATTCTACATTTTTAACAATTATTATTTAAAAGTTTTAAATTTAAATTTAAAAATCATATATTTAAACAATATTACAAGGTGTAACTAGAAAACTTCAAACGAAATAAAATTTGTTCTGCCTAACAAATTTTATTTTTTATATCATTTATAGACGCTTGCACTACATGTATAGCATAACAATAATTATTTTTAATACTGAAAATAAAAAATATTTTATTGATATTGATTGGGTATTTGTAAATTTGGTTTTTAACAAAATGTTGACTGTAAAAACATTTATTTAAGTTATTAATTAATTTTTGATAAATCTAGTTAATCTAGTCATAAAAACATTTTTAATTCAAAAATTATATATTTTTTTGAAATATTTTATGAGAATTTTTTAAAAGTTACCTGTTAAAATCTAAATGTTTTTTTTTTTTTAGTATTAAATTAATTTATATTAATTTGGAGTTGTTCTGCTGTACAGTAGGATACAATTAGTGGGTCACTGTTATGTATGGTGTTAAATTTAAATTTAATGTTATATCATCATTGTATACGAAAAAAAAATTCTAAGTGAAAATGGTCTGTCAGCCTATAATATTACTAAGTATATTAATTGATGTTACTATTGTGATTAAAGTAATTTATTTTACTAATGGACATTAGCAACAGTAGGTTAAATTCAGTTTTGCTAAATAATTACATTTGAAAATGACATTGTGTGTTTAAAATATAATACTGTATATAAAATAATAAAATAAATATTAGATGAAAATTTCAAGTATCTACGCTTATTATTTTTTGAATAACGTCAAAATAAAAAAATCGTATGAGAGTTTTTTTATTTTCCAATGAATATCTAATTTCTAGCTTCAAAAGCTCTTAAAAAATGAATTTGATTTTCCTGTAAACTTTTTTGTTGTGGTAAATAGAGGAAAGCTTAAGGGGAATCTTCAATCTTGTATTAAATTTCCAAGACTTAGATATAAATAGAACATTTTTTGAATTTATGACTCAAAAGAATTTGCTAATTTTTGTGATTTTGATGAATTTTGTCAAAATTTTAATTTCAGATGCTCAAAAAATGATTGTGGATTTACACACAACTTTTTTTTTTCAATTTTCACCAACATCAACTTATGACTAATGTATTACATTTTCAAGTTTTTTGACTGACCGAAAAATGTTGTATCAACAATTATTAAAAAATACTCAAATTTTTCTTATATCTATAATAAGCTCAAAAAGAGTCTATATATTTCAAAAATATTATGGTGCATAGAAATTGCTAATATAAACATTCAGTTCTATATTCGGTTATTTTTTCAGAGTTAAAAAACAAAATCAAATTTTTTTGAAAATTAGTATTGCATAAAAATCTCAGTTTTCTTTTATTTTTTGTTAGTTTTTCCTGTTGTTTTTGAAAAATTATAAGAATTTTTAATTTCCTCCCCAAAAAAAGGTACCAATATTAGATTATGTTTCCTTCCAGAAAAAATGCGTTTGAAGATAATTGAAGCATTTTTACTGTCCCAAAACTATCTGATGATCGACACAAAAAGAATCTCACATCATTGTAAAACCAATACATTCATTGTTCCGCTCAGAATCTAAAATAAAAACAAAAAATTTTGTATTATACGTGTAGCGCGAGAGTAATCCATTATATAGAAATAATTATTAAAAAATATTGATTAAAACAAAAGTTTGTCAGGTCTTCCTGTCTTAGATCATGATAGATGAAACAATCATCTATGTAAGTAATAATTTAACAATTAATATACTTTGTAGCATTTCTATCCAAGTGTTATACTTTTTTAATATTAGAAAAATAATAGGTAGACTTAAAATTCTTTTTATACCTTATATTTTATAATTAGTTATACTATTATGATAGTAAAGAATCTTGAAATTGTAAAGCGTCAATGTCTATCTTATCATTTTGTTCAAAACATGTAACTTCATTTAAGAACTATTAATTTAATTTACTTGTCAATAAGTATAAATTTAAATAAAACTAGTTAAAATGATGAAAGAAAGAATTATCATTTAATTATATATTTATTCTTACATGTTCAAAAAAGGAAACTTTAATAAGGTAACACTACACCTGCTTGTGTTGTGGATGTCTTACGAACATATAACATAGATAATTAAATGTTTACAATAAATCCATTTTACTGTTAAATTAGTGTAAATTGACCTATTAAGAATTTTAAAGGTAAGAGTATCTCGAAGTCTTTTATTGATATTTTAATTGCAAAGCATTTAGGAACATTACATTTTTTGTAAATTTTAAAACGGAAAAATTAAAATATCAAGAAAAGCCTCCAATATGCCTTAGATAATACCTTGACATTTTAAGCTAGTTCAATTCACTCTAATTTTTAAAAACAACGGTGAAATGTATTATTGTGAACGTACAATTTTCTAAGTTGTTTGTTTGTAAGACTGATACAACGCATATGGGTAGGGCGTCCTTCTAAGAGGACACCGTACCTGCATATGTTGTTTCCGTCTTACTAATGCGTGATATACCAAAATGTACATACTGCAGTTCCAATTTTGTATTGTTACCTTAACGATTAGAGTAAATTGATCTATTATTGAACTTAATCTGTGTTCTCTCTATGGTTTTTTAAAGTGAATTGTGAGCATTTTCAAATATTCATATTTTATTTACGCAACCTCACTTAAAACTAAAATATTGTATATATGTGGTATAAAAACCACAGATAATGTTCTTACATTTAAGTTTGAAAATAGGTAAATTTACTCTAATATTAAAGCTAACAACACAAAATTGGAACTGGTGGATGTACATTTTGATGTATTATATGTTAATAAGACGGAGACAAGACATGCAAAGTATGATGTCCTCTTAAGGATATTTTAATAATTGTAATAGTATAATAATATATTGTAATATACTTATTATTTATTTAGCATTGTAAATATTTTAAAAGTATAGTTATTATAAAAATGTGTTAGTACTATATACTAACTATGTATACATTTTTTAGAGCCAACATCAAATTCAAGTTGTTTTACCAATGCAAATGGACAGACTGTATTAAACAATTTTATTCAACAAGTAAATATTGAAGTAAATATTTAAATAAAATGTATACATTTAGGTATATTAGCTATATTTGTTTTTAGGAAAATTCTGAAGATTCTTCTGATCATTTAGAGTCAAAGCTCCGAGTTTCTATGTTAAATAATCAAGTTGATATTCTTTTAAGAAAACTAAATCATCTAGAAAAATATCTATTGCAACAAAATGATTTAAGAAAAAAAGCTGAAAGTAAGCTCCAAGAGGTATATTTTCAAATTTTATACTTTATTACTTATTAGTTAATACGACCTATTATAATAATTATATTATTTTGAAGGAAATGATTTTAAAATCGAAACTAGAAACGGAAAAACTTGAAGTTATTGCTATGTTAACTAATTTGAAATTAGTAAATGCTAGGCTAACTAAGGAAAACATGGACCTTAAAGAAATGATAATAAATAATCAAAATGCACAGAATTCAATTACATCATCATGTACATCAGAAGTAGTAGTGAGTTTTAAAAAATGTATCATTAAATATGGTAACTAATAAAAACCATTTATGATGGAAGTAGAGGATGCCACGCGGGCATTTGTTGTCTCCTTCTCATAAATGTACACAAATTATCATAACTTTCTAATAAATAATAATAATTAATATCTATAAAATCCTCTGAGATACCCTGGATATTCTTACCTTTACATTTTATAAGAGGTAAATTCACTCTATTTTAGAAACTACAGAGTAAAATGAGTTATAGGTAAAGAAAAATATGCTGTTTTATACGTTTGTAAGACGAAGACAACAAATGCCCGTGTGGCGTCTTCTTAATAATCAAATGTTACAAGAATAGTATCATTCTACTTAAACTTAAAATGTATATTTTTAAAAACAATAATTGTATTTTAATATTATTAACCTTTATGGCTTTTTATGTTTTTGAGATTCTTAACTTTACTAAATATATAAGTTAAAGTTAGAATAATATTTGAAAAATATTGTTTGATTCATAGCAAGTATCATAATATTTATGCTCTTATGCATTTCTGGTTTTGATTATTTTATAAATATCGTTTTAATACTTAAAATATTCAACTTTACCTGCATAACAAATTTTAATTGTTGTTTGCAACCAGGCGCAATGTGACTGAGAGTAAATAACGCCCGCTACTACTTTTTTCCGGATGGGTGACTATCCGGGTTCGTAGTAGTAAAAACTTTGCCACACATACAGTTACTTACCTACTGTAACTACCGTACTAACTTTAACAACCACAGTTCATAACCCCTACAACAGCTAATGGCTATACTCACCGGGCTTGAGTTAAATTAAAAAAAAAGTTTCTGTTGTATTTACCTATAAAACTAGTTACTTTAAAATAAAAACTGGTTGTAATTATAGATAGTTCTTAACACTTATGTTTGGTTCTTATTATAATTGGTATTGTATTACTATTTTGTTTAGAACTCTCAGTTTCAACGTTCAAAAAACCACGGATCACGTTTCTATTGTAGTTTGCCTCGACATAATATTTCAAAAAAGAAAAATGAAAACCAGAATATTAATAATGAGTTATTAAATGATATTACTGAATCATGTGCAAATTTAATGAACAGAAAATCACAGTTTGACAAATGTTCTTCAGCTCCAAATTTAGGTAACTGAGTATTTAGAATATAATTATGATTATAACCATTGAATTGATTGTGAATACTTTTATCTAAAATCATATCATATTACATCCATAATTCATTTGAAAGTCTAAGAATAATCTTTAAATTTCAAATTCGAAAAGCGATAGTCACAAAATATTAAAATATTGTTCTGTGTTGAGCTTAGTTAAATTTGTTTTAAAATATAATTAAAAATCTAGTTTATATTTTGTCAAATGTATAAAATATTCTAATCAATAATTTTTTTTCTTCAAGTTTTTATTAAATTTGTTTATTGTTTAGTTGATTCAAAACACGACTGCCAAAATGAACAAATATTAGAAAATAGTTCAAGTCTCTTTTCCAGTACCAAAATTTATTCTTTTCAAAAGTAAGGATCTCAGTTTTTATGAACTACAAATCAACATAAAATATTAACATTTCTTTTGAATGTTTTAGTTCAAATTTACTTTTTAGTGAGTTAAACCGTCAACAGTTACGAGATTGGTTTGCTGAACAAGGTATTGATTATGTTTTAGATGGATCAAAATTATGGCCTACTTCTGGAAAAGAATTGATTTCTTCTTCCATCAGTGAGATTGACGAAAAATTTAAATTTAAAGTAAGCTAAAATAATCAAGTTAATACTTATATTAAACATTAGTTAAAACTGTTTATGCCTTATAAGTTTTATTTATAAATCTTACAAGTATAAACTATATTATGTTAATTTAACATTATAGAAAATAATCAATAACCACTAAAATAAATAACCTGCAATTAAGGCTTCTCAATTTCAATACACTCAAATTAACCATGTAAGAAATAATGTTATGTAGATAAGTGATTACAATAATCAGAGTAAGAAAAAACCCAGTTTAGTCTAATAGAAGAAAATAGTAAATACAATACATTTAATTATAAATTGTGAGAGGCAGTGTAATTGTAAAATATTTTAATAATTATTAGGCCAATAAAAAAAAAGTTATAGCTAAAAAAAATATATAATATCAAAATGATATAAACTAATTATCAAAAATATCTATAACAAAATACCACGGACTAAAGGCTTGTATTAATTAATTATATTATTAAGTTGTTTACTTAACAATGAATTAAATTGAACAATATTAAATTTACAATTGTCCTGTACTTGTATCCATATACTTTATTATATATATTGTTTGAACTAATTATCAATTGTTTTAAACTTGTAGCATTGGTTACATAGAAAAAAGCTAATTTTAGCCATTCAATTTGAAAAAGATCCAAATAAGTTATTTGATGAAGACAAATATCTGGCCAAAGCAAGATATTTAAATACGTCTTGGGTACTACAATGGTTAGACGACATAGGTCTTCCACAGTATAAAGAACCATTTTCTCTGGCAGCTATAAATGGTACCCTTTTAAACAGACTCACCAAAGACGATTTTCTAATGATGCCATTTGAAAATTCAGATTTACATTTCTCTAGTCTCCGATATGGAATAAAGGTTAGTTTAATAGTTAATTTAATACTTGTATTGAAATATGATTAATAAATACTGGATATAATATGTTATGTACCTATAGGTGTTGAGAAAGAATAATTTTGATCCTGAATGTTTGATCCGTCGGTCTAATACTAACAAAAATGATGATGATTGTAATTTATCACAATGGACAACTCATAGAGTAATGGAATGGCTTTGTAGTGTCAATTTGGCTGAATATGCATCTAATTTAAGGGGTTCTGGTGAATATTTTATATATTATGTTTCAAATTGTTTCAATAAAGTTGTCATTTAAAAAACTTGATTTGTTTTATAAACACTTACCTTAGTATTTTTTGTACATTATTAAAAAGTATTTATTTGTTATAATTTAGGTGTTCATGGTGGATTAATAGTATATGATGACAGATTTACTTCTGAGCTTCTAGCTGACATTTTATTCATACAACAGAGCAAAACATTGCTGAGACGTCATTTAAGCATACAGTTCAGCCAGCTGATAGGAAGAGATTTAAATCAAAAGAAAAGAGATGATCAGTGCAAACCAAAGTATAGGCCCTTGACAATATCATCTAAGACTAAAGTAAGTGATAATAATAATTTGAAAAAATCATATCATATTTTGATAATAATTTATACATTTTATTTTAACCATTAGAAGACTACATAATATGCATTTTTGTTATGATTTAGATTCAAAAAAAATCACAATTTTCATTGAAGAGGAAAAAACATAACAATGAACTGAGTATTGGCGATCTAATTTGTCCGATGGACGATTAAAACTAGTTGTTTTATTTTTACGTAGTTAAACCAAAGTTAAAATACTTTTAGTACATGACAAAAAAAGACTTATTGCTTATTATATATATTTTATTAATGTATTTAAATTAATGATAATAATTGTGTTTGTTAAAAGATAGAACAATAATTAACAATTTCCTAACCAAAAATTAATTATATTTTAAAAGTTAAAAGTTTTTATACTAAAAAATATTTAATATTTTTGCATTACATAAACACTACCTATGTTATAGTGGAATGTATTTTTATTGATAAGTAATATAAAGCAATATTATTGTGAACATAGAATCTTATCATTATTATTTGGGGCAAATATGTATATTAGTTACTAGTGACTGGCAGATGTATGGTGAGCAAGAGGAGCCTCCCACATGGCCAATCAGATGTGTTGGCATGTGGAGTGAGTAATATAGTATTTATTATGAGTAATAAAATTACATAATAAAAACATGTTTGTCCTCCCCACCCAACAAAATCCTAGATTTGCCACTGTAGCAATATCTGCAAGACTGAAAAAGAAGTCAAGTAGACGTTACGCCCAAATTTTTTTTAAGTATGATCATTCTGATACCTGCAGATAGTATTCCTTGCGCAGAATTATCACTAAGTCATAAACAAGAGCCAAGTTAATTTCAAATTATTTTTATTTTTTATATTAATTAATTTATTTATCTATACATTTAGATGAAATAATCATAAATAAAAAAGTGTGGCAAGTGGGTATCACTCTGCTGTGCAGTAGGTTACAAGTGGCTAACTTGTAATGGATGTTGTAAAATTTGAATTCAATGATATAATATTATTGTATAAGAAAAACTATTTTGAGCGAAGACAGTCAGTCAGCCTATGATATTACTATAGTCTGTTCACAATAAGATCATTACTCAGTTTTCGTCGGGCGGCAGTCAGACATAATATGGTCCGACGCTGTCCCCACTACGGCGACGCATCGGGCGCTGCTACGGAACAAAGCCACGCCCATGTGCACAACTAGGCCGCCGAGTAATGATCTCATTGTGAATAGACTATATAGTAGTATATTACTAAGTATATTTGATGATATTATTGTGAATGAAGTAATTTATATGGAAGTATATAACCTATTTACGTAGAACCTTGTTTTAAATTTTCAATCCTGAGATAGAAAAGTTGATCATTTTATAAATTTTTAACTACATAATAATTATTAAACAACATTTGAACTTTAAATGCTTATAAAAAAAAATTGTGCCTATGTATTTTTAATATTTTTCAACTGCTATTGTAACAATATATCAGGAGCCTTGCATTACATTTTCACGTTTTTTTACCTAACAAATAAAATTTTATTGATATTTATAGAAAAAAAACTAAAAAAATTTAAAACTGACAATGTCTGTAGGTAAGCAACTTAAAATGAGTTAAATTATTTTTTAGAAAAAAAAATTGCGACTGGATTTTTAATATTTTTCAAATATCATTGTAAGTTTTAACAATGTATTTAGGATCCTTGTATTTGATTTTCAATTTACCATTTTTTACCCAACAAATAAAATTTTATTGACATACATAGAAGAATTAAAAAAATTGAAACTGAAAATGTCCGTAAACAGTTCAAACCAAATAATAATTTATTTTAAATTGTATATTGTATAGAAAATTCTAATATAAACAACCAGTGAAAATGTCATGTACAGTGCCGCAACTACTGGGTGTGCAAGGTGTGCAATACACACGGGCCTCCAGCTCTAAGGGGCCTCTGAAACCAAAATCTAAAATTGAAAATTGTCTATTTAAATATTTTTTTTGCTTTATTATTCTGCGAATATTTTTAGATTTTATGTTCTTGTATCTTGCTTTAAAAATAAATTAATTATAGGCGTAGTTATTAAAATATATAGTATGCAATACAGACTACAGTGCCAAATAATAATAGTAAAATAATAGAAAATAGTAGGTATTGATAGGCTGCGAGTATACAAGGCGATACTCGAGGCGAAATTCGTCGAACGGATTTCGCGGCGATTTCCGCTGTCATCGAAAACCTATAATATGATTAATATAAATAAATCGGGCAGGTTAAACGAGTTCACCGCGAATTAATCCTCCGCGATATTCGCGGTCGGCTGACGAGATTTTTTTCAAAACCGCAAAACCGTCTATTTATATAAACTTTTAATGATAGCGCCATAGCGGCTATACCTACGGGTATTTTGGTTTAGCGAATTTTACGGCGATTATTATTTATTACTATAGTACGGTATTTTAATACAATATTATTGTAAATAGTATTATTGTAAAATCGTAAATATTTTAAACATAATATTATATTATTTCACCGGGTACAAAATAATATATATAGATATATATTATATATTATATAAAGTGTATTTATATATATGTATAAAATATGTTTTAGCGAGGCACAAAATTTGTTGTTGTCTAAAGAGGGAGGCGTAGCCAGCTCCTTTAAAAAAAAAGAAAGAACAAAGAGTATATAGAGGATTTATTAATATATATAGTAGTATACGTCATAATATATACACTTCATATATATAATATAGTATATTATATATAATACATATACACATGTATTGAATCTCTTACATTTATTTAATTTATAATTTAATTATATAATTTAAATTGCATAGGTAGTCATTTTTATATTTATTATAATAATTATTAATTTTTTGATTTTATTTTTAATAGTTTTTATGAGAGTAGCTTTTTTTACTTTATAAGAACGTAAAGTTTTAGGTTATATTCAAATACGTAAAGCCCGTAAAGGTCCTAATAAGTTTTTTATTAAAGGTATCTTGTTCGATTGGAAAGTGTTTATCGTTGGTGCATTGGGGAGGTCGAAATTTAAAATTCCCAGTAATTTTCAAAAGTCCTAAGAAAAACAAAAGAAAAATTAAGGAAAAACGGGAATTTGTACGCAAAATCAAATTTGGTTTTTGGTGTAATTTTAAAACAAATGAATGATGATGAAGGCTCCTAGTATATTTTTTTCAAAGGCAAATGAAAAATATTAAAAAATTTTTGTCACAGTTTTTTTTAAAAGCATTTAAAGTTCAAAAACAAGCAGGTAAGTAGATGTCGCTCTGCTGTACAGTAAATTAGAAGTGCGTCAATGTATAATGGATTGTATTAGACTTGAATTCAATGATATTCTATCATTGTATACAGGGCCATCCGGACGATTTGCGGGGCCCGGGACAGAGTAAATTTGTAAGGCCTAAAATGTCATTATCGTCAGTTGGGAGTTGCATTTATTTAAATATTTAATATTATGAATTGTGATATATATCTACCTAGGTATAAGGGGGCTACGCTCAAATATACTTAGAAATATAGTACCTTGTACCTACTTACAATAATATGAATAAGTAAATTAATTAATAACAAAACACGTAATATATTTATACTTAATATAATAATATTGATAAATTAATAAGTCTATAAATATAGTAGGCACCTAATACAATATGAAAAAAGGTGGACAAGTGGGTACCGCTCTGCTGTACAGTGGGTGTCAAGCATGTCGTTGTAATGGATGTGTTATACCTATTTAAATTACATTGATAAATTATTGTAAACGAAAAAATATTCTGAGTGGAGACATTGTATCAGCCTAGCACACTTGTAAAAATAATCAAATTTAATAGCTAAAAAGAAATTAACAAAGATCAAAAACGTGACTTTCTGGGGAACTTTTTTAGTTTGATAGAATTACAAAAACTTGTTGGAAACCTCTATTAAAATGTCTTAAGTTAAGTATGAAAAAAAAAAACTTTTATGAATTTTGTCAAAATTGGAACTTTATAAGCATATAACAAATAATTGAGCCTATGTATTTTTAAAACTTCCATTAATGAAAATTATAAGGAACCTATCATTACATTTTCAAGATTTTTTACTAAATGAAAAAGAATTTATCTAGTATAATTTTAAAATAATTTAGAAAAATGGAAAAATTTCTCAAGGGTTCAAGCCTATAACTAGCTCAAAAATAGTCAAAATATTGAGAAAATGTTTTATGGAGAATTCTAATATAAATATTTGTTGAAAATTTCAAGGTTCTACAGTTATGAATTTTTGAGATACACCAAAAAAATAAAATCGATTTTTGAAAAATTGGTTTTGTATAAAAGTTACCTATTTTTTTGTTTTTCTCAACGCTTTCTAAAACTACTAGAAATTTTTAATTTTGACTTCCCAAAAATACCAACTAGTTTCACTTTTCTATCAGTAAAGATGCTGATCTAGAAAATCTAAGCACTTTTACTACCCAAAAAGCGCCATACAAAACAGAAAAAAAACACACATCGTTGTAAAATCATTACATTTTTTCTAAGCATTTTTTTCTATAAATATTATAGCTAAGTTGTTGTTTTTTGGGGGGGGGACAGAGCGCTTCGAAGATTTTTTTCATTTTCAACTTTGAAAATTGAATTTTAATCATATTAACTCGTTTTAAATGCAATACATTTATTTGACGACTGCGGACTGATGTCAATTAATATAAGTAGGTATAGCCGTAGGTATAGGTAGTAAAAATTACAGAAATTGATGATATGAACATATATGAATAATAATTTTTTTTCTCATTAACTTTCTTTTTTATGGTATCTAAAAAGCGGGGCCTGTCAAACTGGTGACGGCGAGGGCCCCGGTCGCCCTGCCCTAGGGACGGCCCTGATTGTATAAGAAAAACGATTCTGAGCGGAAACTGTTTGTCAGTCTAGATATTTTATATTGTCATTAATTATTATATCATGTAAGTTGAATTAATATTATAATATTATAATTTTTTATTCGTTTCTATGGTAATAAACAAAGAGTTAGAAATTAAAATATAAATTTTAGCGTTTTTTGGTAATTTTTTGGTGGTTTTTACTGTGGCATTAAATAACTATTGATAAAATTAAAAAATGACCTCTCTAAAGTACCATCTTGATCCAATTTGCTAAAAGATAAGATACCTATACTATATATTG